TGTCTAATTATTTAAAAAGCTTTCATATTTTTATGAGTCTATTAAATTTTGGACTGCTTTCGGATATGGAATCTGCTCGTCTCGCCTCTTCCCCTCCCAAAGTTGCATCACCAGCTCTTGCTGGTACATTAAAAGATGAAACTAAGCAGTCATCTCCTATCGAGCATTCATCAGATATTAAGGTCGCTAATGTAAAAGAAGCTGATGCTGCAAGCGAAGGAAGGGCAGTTAATGCTATTGTGCGTTCTTTGGAGAAGAAAACTGTGAAAAACACTGATCAATCTGAATTAACACTTGAATCAATGAGTACCAAAGATCCAATATCACTGGAGAGTGCTCCAGTGCCTGAAGAGGGTCCGGAAAAGTCACTTGGTGCTGAGCAAGGTGGGTTTAGCTTCTCATTACTTGATATCAATGTTCCTCCTTTTTGCTTTTTTTTTTTTGTGTGTTAGTTGCTTATTAAGTCTTGCAAGTTCAGAGGCTTTAGAACTAGATGATTGTTTTCCTTTTGCAAATATTGGATCGGTTGTAATATTTATTTTCATGCAGGAATGAAGAAAAAGAAGGAAAAAGGCACAGTTACCTGTGAATGGTTAGTTTGTTATCCGAGTTCTCTTACTTGCATTCTTTCTGTCTAATGAAGTGTCTCAAACTGCCGTGAAAAAGCCGTGAGCTAAATCCAATGCTCGACATCAAACGCCGATTCTCCTCCAGAAAAAAACGACCAATTAAAAAATGTCATCTCATCTTGTCGCCCCAATGTTTCATCTCTAATGAAGTGTCTCAAACTGCCGTGAGCTCGGCACAAATGCAGAAACAGATCCCTCTTGTAACTCCCACCAAAATCAAAATGAAGAACATTCACCTTTTTGCCAATACACTTTTTCAAACTGTTGGAGACTACTAGGACTTTATCCTAACGGGATTTGGTTGCAACCCAAACATGTCTAGAATAGTCTTCAACTAAGAAAACCAAATATCAATTATCTTCCAATGATGCCTCCTTGGAAGACCCCCAAATGCCTAATGAACACTACCTAAAAGACCTCTCGATCGATGGATAGAAGTGTCAAACTCCACCTAGGTCTTCTTTCTCATACCAATGTGTTCATAGGAGTTCAATATGCAGGTCAAAGCACTCCTCAATAATCCAATGTACCGTATCAACTATCAAATATCTCAGCCTCAAATCCTTGTTTCTCAGCCAACTATATCAAAGCATCAAAATAAACAAAGAATAGATCCAAACTGATAAATAAGAGATTTTTACCTATAATATCTCACATTTATCTCCAAACGAAGCCCTAGCCAAACTTCCAAAATGATCTACTCCTCCAAATAGCCCAAGAACGAAGAATAGATCCAAAACTGATAAAGATAAAATTTTTACCTCCAATTGAAACCCTAACAAGAGTCTCCGAAAGATCTCACCCCCACACGACGGTAGGCAAGATCATAATTAGAAAAAATCTCACATTTATCACCAAACGAAGTTCTAGACGAGCCTCAAAAGCGATCTACTCCTCCAAATAGCGCGGAACAAATGAAGAATAGATCCAAAATTGAAAAAGATAGAGTTTTTACCAAAAAGATCCCACATTTATCACCAAATGAAGCCCTAGACGAGCCTCCAAATTGATCTACTCATCCAACCAAGACAAAACCCTAGATCTGGAACCTGGAGCTCTGATACCACTTGTGTGCGGCGGAAGCGGAAAAAAGCCACAAAAACAAACCAAACAGATTAGGATTCTAAAAACGAGTCTGTCACACCCTGATGTGGCACACACCACACCCATGACAAACATGGTAGATTCTGCCACCTGGGTGTGGTGGAGTCTGTCTTGCTTATTTTTTTATGTTTTTCTCAAGTAGATGTCCATACATCATGATTAAAGCTGTCAATTGTTCTGGCCTAAAGACTGCCAGCTATTTTTATAACTGGCTTTTTTTGTTTTAATTGATATTCAGGAGTTTTCGTGGTCCGATTGTCTGCTTTGCTCGCAAACTATGCAGCTGTAGTTTAAACGCTATCAAAGATGTAGAAGTTTGAGATGGATCATGTTAATCAAAGGAAACAAGCTAAGGGATTATGTGAACCTGAATGTGTCCAGCAGATTTTTAATTTATACATCCATAACCATGTTGGAGTTCATTGTATGCAATAGTAAGCATGACTTAGGATTATGTAAGCCAAAACTGGAAACAAGAGGGTGTTGGTTCGTGAAATAAGACCAGCAAAACAAAGAATGTAATGAGGACAATAAATGATAATATTTGATTAGTTGATATATTTTTGAATTTTGAATTTTGAATTTTGAATTTTGAATTTTGAATTTTGAAATTTAGTTTAATTTCAGTTGAGTGATTTGAGGGATTGTTGTTTCTTTCTATTTTTATTGTATGTTGTGTGCACGTAGTTTTTTATTTATAAATAAGGTTGTATGAGACTATTGAAAATCAATGAATTATTGAATGAAAAAATTGCATTAGCTAAAATCTGGTGTAAAGCCTTGGGTGTGAAACCCTAGGCCTCGGGTGTGAAACCCTAGGCTGTTTCCTGTGTCATCTTCCTCCAGCCGCCAAGCATTCCCCTCGTCTTCCCCACGTCAACAACCAGTCAAACCATCCTCTTCCCTAAAAACCACTAGATCCGCACCCAGCCCACCCCTGATCTCCACCTCCGCACCACCATCGCCATCATCTCCTCCCAAGCAACCGCCCTACTCCCACTGTCACCGAGCCTCCCTTCCCAACAACTGTCGTCTTCATGTACACCAACTGTTTGGCAAAATTCTCCACCAGAGCAATACTACCATTGCCACAGCCGCTTATCACAGATCATCATATCGCTATCGTCCCGTCATCCTTGCCGACGCCGTCACTCTAGTCGCTGCTCAGATTCACCACCACCGTCGTTGTTCAGATTCGTTGTCGCGTCGTTATCAGTTCAACACCGTTGCACTCGTCCTTGTCAGGTCTCCGCCTCATCGTCGTCGTTCAGTTCACCGTTGTCGTTGTACCACCTCCAGAGGTCTCTCACGTCGAGTCTGTTCAGACCGACGAAGGTTTCACTCTCTTTATTTTTCTGTTTATCTCATTTGGTTAGTTAATCGCATGAGTATCTTATCTCTAAACTATTATCATATATTCGCTACTTAGATTAGTTTTTGTGAGTTAAGAGCAATTGAACATGTGACTGTTGAAAAATTGATATTGATTGTGGAAATGGTACAATGATAATGAATACTATGATTATATTGATCGAGATTGGAATTGTTCATGATTATCGTTGTAAATCTTGTTAAAATCCATCTGTCGTATTAATCGTTTCGAAATTAATTTCCTACCGAATATCATGAATTTTGGCGAAACGGTATGTTGTTCAAATTAAATCATTGATTCTGATAGACCCCCTCCCCCGTTTCGCATCATTTTGGTATCAGAGCATGGTTCTAGGTTAGGAAATTTTTATTTTATTTTAGATTAGTTGAGTCTTTATTTAAAAAAAATAGTCATTTCATTTAGCTGTTTGTCCACACCATTCATCTCATCTAGTTAGTACATGCCCACTCGCACAGGTCTACCCTATCAATTTAGGAGAGTAAAGTGGATCAACTAGTGAGCCCAACATGCCAGGCAGTACAAATCCCGAATTCTCCGAACTACTTAAGCAAATCGCTGAGTTAAACGGACAAATAAGTAACTTAACCCATGAGAGCAGAGCTACCCGCGAGACCCTGAATAACACAAACAAGAGACGTGCTAGGTTAGAAGAAATGTGGGTTACAACTCCGCCTCGAGGTCAAGGCTATGGATACCGACCCAAGATCATGGGTACATCGTTCATCGACCCTCACCTCAACTTGTGCCTGATCCACCAACCTTTGATGGTAAGCTCGACCCATAAACTTTCTTTGACTGACTAAAGAGCATGGATCGCTACTTCGATTGGTACGCCCTGACGGAATCCTAAAAAGTCAAGTTTGCCACAATGAAGCTCACTGGACTCGCCTACCAATATTGGTCCAACTTTGAAATGATAAGGCATATTAGAGGTGAGTTACCAATTTTTACTTGGCGAGAAATGGCCGACGAACTAAAACGAAAATATCTTCCGCCATCATTTATTTATAGATTACTAGATAAGTGGCATAGTCTTACTCAGGGAACCAAATCTGCAAAAGAGTATGTTGCTCAATTTAATAAATTGTTTACTCAATGCAACACCATTGAGCAAGAGACACCAATGAAAGTCTTGTCAAAGTTTTAACCCGGATTAAGAAGTGACCTCCAAACGGAACTCTTTGCTTGAGGAGTAGGCACCCTTAAGAGAGCTTACGCCTTAGTTCAAGATCTAGATGAAGCCAAATTCCACCAATCTCATAGAAGTCAGGATTTTCGAACTCATTCTCCCGGTCTTCTCATGCCACTACCTCTAGTCAGCCTCCGAGTCAATTTAACCCTAGTTACTCCAGTCTAGAGTCGATCCCAAGGGCCAGAAATCAGAGAGAGATCTCTCCAAACTTAGCCTAATAATTCAGTGTTACAATTGTTAAGGATATGGGCACGTTGCTACAGTCTGTACAACTCCGTTCAGAGTTAGAATCAATAAGCCGCCAATAACGGAATCAAAATCCATTATTGAGGAAACCGTTAACCAGGTAGAGTTAGAATCAATAAGCCGCCAATAACGGAATCAAAATCCATTATTGAGGAAACCGTTAACCAGGTCGTAGATTTGACAGAATCTAATTTGACAGAATCTAATTCTGACAAGAAAATTCAGGATAGTATAATCGAAGAATCATGTACTACAACTAACCCCAATCTGAAATTAGGCGAGTGTACCACCACAGACATACGTCATTTCTTTTCCATTAAATAATATAGAGGATAGCCACGACAGCAATTCATAACCGGTGATAGAGAAACCCATCACAAAATTGATGAATTCAGTTAACAGAAATGTCAATGGAAAAGGCCAAAATATCAACTCGCGCACGCACAGCATCAACAAGCAAATTCCAAAGAAATATATTCCAAGTTCAACAACTACTACTTGCAGTAAAATTCATGATAGTCATTAATTAAACATGCCCAAACATAATAAACTAGTCAGGTCACTAAGCAACTCAGCATAAGAAAAATGAAAACATCACCATGACTAAATCTAAGCACCAACGATCTCTTGTTGTTCCCCTTCCATAGGAGTGTCCTCGGCAGGCCTGTCCACCTTAGCACCAATATCCTCCTTGCTATAGTCACCATGGACCTAAACAAGTAAAGTATATGCAAATTATTAAAATTCATTTCACAAATAAGTCAAATCTAAATTATTAAAATTCATTTCACAAATAACTCGAATCTTTTAATTTCCTTCTTCTTACCTCCATAAGTTTGCCAAGATCAAACTTGGGTGCCTTCAGGATTTTAACTTTGCGGATAAACACATTCTGGAGAGGGTAAATACCCGAAGTTGCCTTCTCAATTTCCTTCCCAATTGACTCAGGAATGAACTTTGCAACCAACTCTTTCAGGTCACAGGATGAAGCTTGATTTAACATAATCTCCCTCATCTTGCGACGAATCTGGTAAAGAAAGAAACAGGTTAAACAATGAACCATAGATAGAAAACTGTTGGAAGCCATTGGCAGTAAAAGTAAGAATATTGCCTGTCTGATCTGGCTCGACTGGGCATAGCAAGTGCGCTTCACCTGGTTTGGGCGTCTCTTTGTGAATGCAATGCAGAACATCCTCAATGTGTAGTTGTCAGTGGTTTTCACATCAACATGAGCCTCGATCAATGTCTGCCACTTCCTTACTAGCGACCTAAGCTTGTCGGTAGTAAAGTCCATACCCTAGAAAGAATAATGTAACGCAAGTGTCATCAAGAGATTATTAAATATAAGTTGAACATGGGGTACTCTGATAATATATACTTACCCAGAAATTGGTAAGGACGTTCTTTCCTTGAATGTCCTCTGCGCGAAGGCGAATCTTTCTGTAAGCCTGATCCTCATCAGTCTGGAGATCTGCAAGGGATACTTCGAACACCCTATGCTTGAGACCCTCTGAAGCAATCTAAATAACAGAGACAATATTTTACTACAAAAAGTAAAGATACAAGCAAGTGGACTGCAGTAGGCGCGATACCACAATCTCGTAATTGAAAACAATCAATAAAAAGTCAGACAATGAATGCATAAAGATATACAATCAATGACCTATAGAAGGCTTCACCAGTGAAGAAAAATCATTGCTCCAGGAATAGATACTAAGCAAAGGAACACCTTAGAACATAAAAAAAGAAAAAATCGTGCAAAAAGCGTATTTGATTGATTAATAATTTAAAAGCAACAATAGAATTATATGTAACACCATGATGTAAAGACAACAGATCAAGGATACCATCACACAAAGGTTAATATGTTAAGCATTTGGTTTCTTTCATGAAAGAAAGTGACAGAAATTTCTTGATGCATGTATAATTCAATAGAGGATGGACACTAACTAGTCCTAACTAGTCAATTGTCATTGATGACATGGGACATCAGATGTGCACACATAATAGATGCGCATCAAACTCATTAGACGAGTCAAATGAAATGCATGGATAGACAGTTTAAAATGCAGTTCAGAGAAGTGAAGAACCAGATAAGAGGGCTGGCTGCAAATTGAATTGTGGAAGAGAATATAATCAATAGATAGAAAATGAAGAGAATTATTTGACTCCAAACACTAGTGAGACAAATGCAAATTGCAAAATAAAAAGTTGATCGAATACCAATAGAGTTTGCAGCATAATATTAGAGATGATGGGCTGAGCCCAAACTCATTAATCGGAAAAAAAAAATTATAGATTTATAAATAAAAAGACAAAGGAAAGCAAGGATCATGTTATTAATGAAAAGAAATCACAGCTTAATCAGCAAGATGTTTTTGTTTGGAAGGACTCCTTGAAATTGGGAATATTTTCGACTTTATTGTTTATTGCATTGTAAAATTGAGTAAAAAAGAAATAAAAAATTACAGTACTTTGGCATTCAATTGAGACCAGTCTCCCAATACATCTGAACAAGTGAGCAAAAGGAGCAAACGCCCAACCACTAATCCTAACATTTCATATACAGTACAAATTTCTGTGGGTTAATACCATGGACACAAGCTGAGAAAGCATCAAATTAGTAGTAACATAGCCAAGAATCGGGTTTATTTTAGCCAATCTAACTGAAAAATTGAAGTTTACATTAAACTTCTTTTGAGTTTCACCAAATCTAAGTTCTATAGATATCTGCCACCATCCTCCAAATAGCATAGTACAGGGGCAGTTTTCAAACAAAAGCTTGAAATCAGGCTGAATGAACTTAATTCTACTATCTAGTTAGCTGATAAAAAATAAAAAATACTAAAATAAACCAATTAAATCATGGTATGCTATTTAATTCTGCATCAAAGTCTAGGAAATAAATATCCAAACTCACCCTGGTTCCTTGAGTCCTTGAGACCAGGGTTTTCCCAATGTTCCTCGTATTGAACACTGATGGAGCCTTGATATCATACCAATCCTTCTTCGCAAAAGGATCAACACTGCCAACAAATCATTCAGAATAAATACAAAGGATAAAAAAAATTCACCTTTCGCAAAATCAAATCTCAGAATTATCCAAGACAAATTTCAGATATAACATGAAAAGACTTACGCTTTCTTCTTCCCTCCCTTCTTACCCTTAGAAATCCTCTTGTTCTTACTGTAAACAACAGACGCAAATGTGAGAGACCAGAGAAAACAGCAGAGGAATGATAAGAGCGATGAGATCCTTACCCAACCGCCATGTTTACTGCCTCTCCTGCTGCTGTTTCCTCTCAAAGGCTAGGGTCTGAGCGTGGCGGAGGCGAGCGCGAGAGTAGAAACCACAAAAGCAATAAATAATTTCGGCCAGGTTAGATCAAATTTCGTGAAGAAAAACAAGCTCACCTTAACAAAAAATTTAACCTAACAGCAGAAATTTTAACCTAACAACAAATCAACCTTTCAGCAGTGAATTTAACCTAACAGGCGGGCATTTTAGGAAAGGTATCATCTTTTTCTTCAAAAATAAAATAAAAATAATAACACCAAGATGTAATTTTTACCTGATGGCCGGAAAACCGCTGGTGGTATTCTTGCGAGCGAGTGGTTTTCCGATGGAGAGGATGGGATCAAGATTTGGGAGTGAAGGAAGATACCCTCCCGCGAAGCTGTTACGACGGGAAGGGAGATCCAGGAGAAGGGGAGGGCTTCGTTCGCGTTCAAGAGAATATTTATATGTGATTTGTGATATTGGGATGGCGGCGCTTCAGTTTAGGGTTTTGTTGAATGTATAAGCAACTCAATCACAGCCGTTCGATTTTTTTAAAAGCAATCCAAGCCATTGACAAAATAACCTAGGATATAAAACGTTATGTAACTTGCGTTATGGATAAAAACCCTAGGATCTCGATGCGCCGTTATTATTATATATATATAAGGTTCAGGTGATCTTTTCAGGGTTTTCTTTATAATCTACTGATCTAACGGTGGGTTTTGGCAGAGAGAAAGATCGTGCGACTTTTATTGCCCGTCCGTCCAATTATGGGTGCTAGTCACCGAGTGATGGCCTCTGGCTACGTTTTGGGCCCAATTGTATATGTAAAAGCCTGTTTTTTGGCAATTTCAAAACCGGCCTGGGTTGGACTAGATTTTGCTTACGGTTTTTTTCCCCATAGAAGCCGTCGTTTTAAAATGGTGTCCTTGTGACGCCTTATGATTTTTAATTTACTAGTTAAGATGCACGTGCAATACACGTGGTTGAATATCATGATTATTTAAATTGATAAAAATAGAGTAAAAAATAAAAAAGAAAAACGAAGTTTTTTTTTGTGGGATTGATCATCAGCTCAATAATCTCTCTCTCAAATGAAATGTTGTCATTGTTTCCTTCAACCCAGACTGTGGCCACGTAATCTACTATTTATGACTTACAAACACATTAATCTAGCACAACATCTCTATTTCTTAGTATCTTAAAGTCTTCAAAAGATGGGTGATCATTCACTTCGCAAAGAAATTTTGCATATGAATTTATTTACAATATGTCCATTAAACTTTTAGTTATGGTTTGACTCATATTCACATTAACTTTTATTTGTGGTTTCACTCATATTTATATTATCTAATTTCTCATTCAATTTAATAGCTCATTCTCTGTGTCATAAAACTAAAACTGGATGTATGAAGAATTATTTTCTTGCAAACTGAGAACAGACAGAATATGATATATTTCACCATGTATTGTATATAGGACATATAACTCATCAAAAATTTCCACATCTGCTAAGTGGATTTTGTTGTTGTGAGAACAAAATGTTAGAGACTCGTATTCAAACTTTTTGTCTCTATAAAAGACACAAGAATTTGGAGTGCATAGCTCATATATCATAAAGAACACACTGTTTCATAAAGAATTTTCCCTAACGATACTATTACAACGATATTACTATTCAGTATTAAATCAATTTTATTATATAAGATAAATGATCCTTTTTAATAAATTATAAAGTATATATATATATGGAAACATCGATGCTTATAACCAGTAGTTGGGTTAAACAAAAAAGGTTTAACTTTTATATTCTTGTTTGCTATTGGTAGTATTGTTGGCAATGCTATTACCTTTCTCTTTATCTTATTATTCATTCTTTTCTGATGTAAGTTCTCATTTGCTAATCATTCAATTGACTATATTTAGTTTTTATAATATCAGAGGTTAGAATATCAGAGGTTAGAATACGCACTTTCTATGTTAGAATGTTGATATAGTGATTACACAGTCTAAAAGTCAAAGAAGAAATTTCTACAAAGGAAAAATAATTTAATATGTCAAATTAAGAACTAATTTATAAAATATACATGGGTAGTGCAGATAGCTATAGAAAGTAAGGTATATATCTTCATAAAAAATTTATAGTGAGTGACCAACTACAATCCTCCTAATTAAAACATAAATAATTATTATTTAATTACTAATTTGACACGCGTAACTATGGAATAAATCTTTAGTAAAAAATAGGAATTGAGATTGTATTATGTTGTAGGTAAATAAATAAATGTTATTAGAGCTCCTCTCTATATTAAATTCAAAGTAATATTTTAAATTATTAACCACCAAATATTAGTTCATGTGAGAAAGTAAAGTAATCTATAGTCTATATACGTATATCGACAACCAATCAAACGAATTAAATTTATGATGACCATAGTCAAAATTATATGGTGGGTTCACATTAAATATAATTTGAAAAAAAATAGTAAATTAAAGTCAAAATCTTTTTAACCACTATATAGATTGTCTAAAAAATTTTGCATATATAAACTATACTGCCTAAGAGTAGTGATGTGCACACTTAATTATGGTCTAATAATCTAAAGAACGACTTATTCTTCAATATCAACATTAATTGATGTATATGTGCATTACACTGAAAACACAACAAAAATTTAGAAAACTGTAAAATAAATACTCTCACAAGTTTTGGAAAGTGTTAAAAAACACCCAAAATTTTGTAATTTGGAAATACAAAAAATTAGTAAACATTACATTAAAATCAAGGAATTACAAAAAAAATTATTAAAAATTTTTAAACTTTAGAGGGGTAATTTGCAATGTACTAGTGTGTTTTTTTGTAAATTTCAAATTTAATAGATTTTTAATGAGTTATGTTCTTTTTTTAAAAATTATGGGTAATATTTACCATGAAAAGATTTTCCTAAACCTATACTTTTAAAAGGTGTATGATATTTTTGTAAAATTTTAATTTTCTAGAGGTTGTTAGTAATTTTGCATATTCATTTTAGTGTCTATAGGTTAGAAATTCTCATGGTTTTTTTTTGTAAATTATGAATTTTAAAGACTTTTTACAATTTCTTAAACTTATAGGTATTTTTTACAGATTATAAATTGTTTATAAACTATTTATAATTCCTATGCTTTTAATTTACTAATGAATTTGAAATTTTCAGGGTGTTTTTAATAAAATTTGAATTTTAAATATTTGCTTGTAATTTTGAAACTTTATAGGAGTTCTTTTATAAATTATAATTATGTAGGTGTTAATGTCGAATATCACACAACCAATTGGAATCACAGGATTTGTAAAAAGAGGAGGGGCCACTTTCTTCATCAACTTTATACCTTGCTCTACTGTTAGGGTGAATGGGCAATCTGCACACAAAAAAGGTCGTAAGAGGATGGGGCTGAGTTCCCCCGTGATACCTCCGACGATTAAGTCAGTTGATGAACTTGAGTAGAGTTAAAGAAGAACTATGTGTTCTTGCGCAGTGTGTACCTTTAGGGGTTTTAGTTTTCGAACCTTTTTCTAGCTCGAATAGTACATGTATTTATAGAGGATGTCAAGGGTAGATTGGTCACTTCATGAGTGCACAGTAAGACGGTGGTGAGGGGTGAGCTGGAAGTTGGGTCATCTCTTGCCCGACATGTGTCGGCTGGCGACAGGAGGAAGATCAAATAGCGGTGACAAAGTATGAGCTAGAAGGTGAGTCATCCTTTACTTGACATGTGTCGGCTGGCGACAGGAGGAAGATCACTTCGGCCTCGATTTGAGGAGCGATCGTGGGCTGATAGGGGGCGTGATGACGCATGGTCTATGAGTAGACATGATGTGACTTGTTGTTAGAATGGATAAGCTTTGGCGGAATTATCTTCTAGCTTCGCTGGAGAAGTAATGTCCCTCATGATGGGACTTGCGAGGAGAGTCGACTTGTTGAGAGGAGTGAAGAGTCATCCGCCTTTCGAGTCGACATGAAGGAGTGTTGGCTGACTGGGTCGACTAGGCTTCTGGCGAGTTATCTGTTGCGAGAGGGCCGATGGGTACCGCCTTTTGGGTCGATGTTGATAAATGTCGACTTGTCTGTTTGGCTGAGTCGGATTGCTAGCTGATCTCTGGCTATTTCTGCCGTTGGTCGAGATATCAGCTCGTCTGGGATGTTAAGGTGTCTCATATCGATTATCATTGTTTCTCGTGTCGATACTAGAGTGTTGGTGTGCTTGGCTGGTCGAGATACTGACTAATCTTATCATATATTCGTGGAACAGATATGCCCTGTAATAGTTAGCCCCTTTTGCTGGGAGTTGGCTTGAGCCAAGTCCGAGTGAAATAAAATAATCAAAGGGCGAATAGGAGAAGAGATGGACGCATTTAAAGAACTGTACTACCTGACATCAGCGGGCATCATCATAATTGTGGCAGGGTTGCTCTCTTGGTATATTACGGGTTCTTCGAGGTAAAAGAAAGTGGGCGCGCTTCGTCTTTCAGGAGAATTTTGAATTCTGAGGACAGATCCAAACCATAAGAGACAATTGAATCCAACGGCTCAAATCTTGACAGTTGTAAAGCATGAGTTTTTTATATTTGTATATAAAACCATCAAGCGCTGCTATCACCCTTTCAAATTCTCTTTCGATCAACTGTTCCTCTTCTTCCCCAATTTCTCTTGTCCTTTTGCTCGTTCTTCTTCCATGGTTTTAGAAGCGGTTGATCGTCGGGATTTTTTGGAAAATATTCATTCTAAAGTGACTTTGTCCCAATTGAGGATGATATCTAAAAAGTTTGACATCCCTGCTGGATACGAGCTGCTTCTCCCGACGAGTTCAGTGGCAATTTTCGATCATGGGCCTGAACGACATCCTCTCTACTTGAGACATCTGGAGTGCGGTTTGAGGTTACCCCTGCCTCTGTTTCTGAAACAACTGTTTGAGACATTAGGAGTCTCGGCTGCACAAATAAAACTGAAAGCCATAGCCATTGTTGTGGCGTTTGCGGTAATATGCCATTGGTTGGCAATAAGGCCTACTCTGAAGATCTTTGCTCATCTAGTGGCTATAAAGGTAAATCAGAAGGAGCCCCATTATCATTTCCAAATGATAGGAAAGTTCAAATTGATCGCAGATCTTCCGGATTCACACAAAGATTGGAAGGAGAAGTTTGTGTGGGTGATTAGGGATGATCTAGAGATGAGATGTTCCGAATGGCCCGAGATAAAGAGAGATGCTCTTGCCAAGGGCTCACTATCTTTGGAAGAGAAAGACCAGCTTGAATGGCCCGAGATAAAGAGAGATGCTCTTGCCAAGGGCTCACTATCTTTGGAAGAGAAAGACCAGCTTGATTTAATCAAGGAATTTACAGGCTCTCGCCATTTTGAAGATCTGATCGATAGGCTAGTTTTGCGTATGACTAGAGTGTCAGTTGAGCCGGCGGCTGCTCGAGATATAGATAGG